TTATGAACCGGAACCGGCCCGCCATATGTCCGGTTCCGGGCTGAAAACCGGCTTTTCCGGGCCGGTTCCGGGCCGGTCCGGGCCGGGTTCGGTCCGGGTCCGGGCCGGTTCGGCGGGCCGGTTCAACCCTTGGCCATGTCTGCGAGCGAGAGTAAAAGAGTGATAACTCAACAGATTTCTTATAATTTCATCAATAACCAACCGACCCTATCGCAAGATATCACAATATATAGAGTTCAACTCCTAACCAACCTATTGCCCCACTAGAAATACTAAATAAATATATCCTTACCAACTTAAATAATACTAATTAAGAGAATAAAATAATATGAAAAGTAAATAATAATAAAAGAACATAAAAAATAAATAAATATTTAAGATCTTCATTGTTCATCAAAGATCAAACAAATAAAAGAAGATTATTAAACACTATAAACCTTTTCAAAATGTTATAAAAACAGCTAGCATGTGTATATTCTAATTATTTAAGCACATAATCATAGCAGACTTATATTGACATTTACTATTTGTTGTTGTGATTGTGGCAATTGCTTGACATGGTTGTGTAATAAAAATCAAAGTTCACATGATGTATACCTAATTTGATTAGCAAATGTTAGTTGTTAGGTTGATTAACTGTTAGGCTTTTATTATTTATTATCCATTATAAAAAATGAATTATGAATGTTACTTTTATTTATATATATATATATATATATATATATGTAAAGGTTTGATTATTTTTTAAATAGTAACTATTTCCCTCCAAAAAAATCTATTTACTATTTTAGGCAATTAATTTAACAATTTTATGGTATATTTCAAATAATCATTTATGGAAATTGCGGCTATTATTTAAGGAAATAGTTAAGCTATTAATTACTCAAATCATGTGAAACTATATTGTTGGATTTATTCTTTTTAGAAAAACAATTCTCATAAAAGCTTTTTGACATTCCAATTTAAAAAGTTCAGTAATTACTTTAACAAAAGTGTGTCATTATCTTAAGGATTGTTTTAATTATTTGTTATTCTTTCCTACTTTTAAGTACAAACATGTTAAATTTAACAGATTCACTTTTAATCTTTTGCGGAATCAGGTATTCTAATTCATTGCTCCTATTTATTATTTCCAATTTTTACTTAAAGAGGTTGTTACAATGGAATATGTACTTATATCTTATTTTACATATCAAATAAAATATATGGGCCCAAATTAAAAAAACAAACTTGCAAATTAGAACCCAGATAAACAAGAACTATTTTTATTATGCTTAATTATAAATAAGAACTCTAAAATGAAAATTATTTTATAAACAAGAACTCGTATACACAATGCGCGGGTTGTGTATGTTGATAAACGAAATTGTATCAACGAAAATGTACACCCCTATTCTGTGAATAATCGGTGTTTGATCTTTGTATGTATATCGAAGATGGAAAAATCAAGAATGTCTTTTATTATTTTTGTTGGAAGAAAATGAATGAATAGTAACTTGGTTCTCCCCTTTTTCTCTCCCCAGTCCCCATACATATACATCCCCATTTTCTTACAAGTGGACCTATCAAAAAATAGGTAAATAGGGAACATTGGTATTTAATGTGAGATGACATTGTGGGGCCCGATCGTGACACTTGACGGCTTCGATTGACATCTACTTTATCAGCAATTATGGTATCTGCCAGAGACGGATCTTCTCGATATGCGGGTCGGGCAGACGATATTAATTCTACTCAGCTCGAACGTGGACGATCTGGGCACTTGGGAACTCGGTCGATGTTAACTAATCAGCTCAGAGAACCTGTTATATTTATATTTATCCACGTGTAGCCTTTTTATTAATCGAGGCTAAATTAGGTATCAACATTAGGCCCCCGACTTTAGTACATGTTCTGAACAGAACTGTTCTGAGGTCGCGTTTACTATCAATTTCACGTACATTCGCTTATGATTTTCTTGAGTTTGGGGCACTTTACGCTGTGATAAATATCTTAGCGAAGTTGCCTGGGTGCTTTGGGACCCGTGGACGTTTTGTTGATCGTTTTTAGGCTTTGGCCTGACGCTTGGAATGTCATTCACGCTTTATGCTCTTTGATGAACTGAGTCGATGAAATTGTTGGACAATTCTTTGGAATTGCTATCGAATGGGGCCTAAGGGACCTAGTCGGGTAACTTGGTACCCATTTTTACGCTTTGCGTGCAACGTGAAGTGTTTGATTGATTTTGCTTTTGCGATAATGGTGATGGCCAGATTCGATTTCTGGAACGGCCCCCACCAAGTAATTTTGTCAGGGACTTGATGGAAAAACGAACCTTTAGCCTTACCAAATCATCTTCAGAATCTAGTGTTGACGATGGCTTCAGTCCACCGAAGTGAAAAAACTCAGTAATAGAAAGGGCCTACCGAACTTAAAAATCCGGCGAGGAATGGATTATCAACCTTACCAAACTGAAGAACTTGGTGATATAATGGTGACAATCTTGCCGAAAGGTATTAGTTCTACCAAGCTGAAGAGCTCGATGATGGTAAAGACATTACCCTACCGAGTTGAAGAACTCGGCGTAAAGCTTTTTATTTATTTATTTTCCCAGCCGAAAAGGTCTTATTGACTTTGCCTAACCAGTGTGGGCTCAACCGGAGTCGAAGCTCAACATCGAGGAAGTGTATCGAAGGGGTATCAGCCTTACCAAGCTGAAGAACTTGGTGTAAGTAAAGGCTTTACCCTACCGAGCTGAAGATCTCGGTGTAAAGATTTTTTTTGTATTATTGTTATTATTACTATTTTTTTTTATTTTTTTTTTCGAATGCGGCGTGGTAGTCGACTTGTTGGCTCGAGTGGCCTTTTTAGCGGAATGCGGCATGGTAACCGACTTGTGGCACAAGGACCGGTTTTTGCCTACCGTCGGTTTATTATGCCGACTAGTGGCAGTTTCTGCAGAATGTCGGTTTTTTACACCGACTGGTGGCGCGAAGGCCGGTTTTTGCAGAACATCGGCTTTTTACGTCGACTAGTGGCACGAAGACCGGTTTTAGCAGAACGTCCGTTCTTACACCGACTAGTGGCACGAAGGCCGGTTTTGCAGAATGTCGGTTTTTACACCAACTAGTGGCACGAAGGCCGATTTTCGCAAAACATCGGTTCAGCTGGATTCGAACCTCTACGGCGAGAAAATATAGATGTCGTTTAGCCGGAGTCGGGCTCCACGGCGAGAAAATACAGGCATCGGCTCAGCCAGAGTCGAAGCTCTGCGGCGAGAAAATATAAACGTCGGCTGAGCCGGAGTCGAAGCTCTACGGCGAGAAAATATAGATGTCGCTCAGCTGGAGTCGGGCTCAATGGCGAGAAAATATAAACATCGACTCAGCTGGAGTCGAAGCTCTACGGCGAGAAAATATAGATGTCGCTCAGCCGGAGTCGGGCTCAACGGCGATAAAACATAGACGTCGGCTCAGCCGGAGTCGAAGCTCTACGGCGAGAAAACATAGACGTCGGCTCAGGCGGAGTCGAAGCTCTACGGCGAGAAAATATAGATGTTGCAAATAGATGACCGGTCGTGGCATGAATGAATAGGTCGTTCTAGCTCCCAGCACAGATAAGTGACTCTGGCGTAGATAAATGAATTTGGCCCGATATTGATAAATGATCTCGGCCCTGTCATTGATAAAGCATCTCGGCCCCATCATTGATAAATGATTCCAGCCTCGACGTAGATAAGTGGGGTCGAATGCGAGCGAATAATGAATCGGTCCAGTGGAACTGGGCTTGTCTTCGGACAGATAATAACTTGATCCAGGGGAGCTAACCACGCCGGCGAGCGAACGATCAACCAGCCCTAAGTAAATGAAACGGGACTCGTCGGTGGGAGAATAATAAATTAGCCCGGAAAGAAGTCTGTCAAGTGGCTCAGGAAATAGCTGGATGATGGTGCCTGCGCGGCGACTTGGATGGTCCAGTTAACTTGGCGGTTTATGAGGTCGGATTCCGCTTCTTTAGCCGCGAGGCCGGGCCCCGGTTGGAAGTCTGAGCTCAATTATGAAGTTATCCCCATCTTGAGTAGTCGAACAAGTGTTGAGGTCGATCGGGCAGTGATCAGCTAGGTCGTCCATGATTAAGCCACAATTTCGGGTTCGATAGTGATCATGCGGCTCGGTATCTTTGAGGTTGGTCTTCCATCAGGAGATTTGGTGGTCGACCGTTGTGAGGTCAGCCAATGAGTCTTACGAGGTCGGTGGTTTAATGCTGGCCGGGTGGATCGAATCGAACGACAGAGTGGTCGGCGCTGTTGCAATTTGGGGAACCGTCGGCGGACGAGTGGTAGCCGACTTGTTGGCACGAGTGGCCATTTTTGCAGAATGCAGGTGTTGGAGCCGACTTGTTGGCACGAAGGCCATTTTTTTTTTTCGCATATGTATATATTATGATTTTTTTATGCATATATACGTACATGTATTTATTTTCTATATATGTATACATATATATATATATATGTATTTATTTGTAGTGAAATTGAGAGTAGGATTACCTCGTGCCAGTGTGGAGCATAGGCCTAAGAATATTATCGCCCGGAGAGGTCGGTTCCTCCTTTGCTTAGATTTTTGGCGAGCTCCTCGATTTCGAGATTTTGATTCCTTATCAGACTCGGTGCTCCAAAGCCTAGGCCTATCTATTACAAGATTTTTTAGGGCCCATTTATTACAACACATTTTAGGGCATGCCTTTACATTTTTTACAATTAAATTCATAAGCCCACACATACCCTTTTGAGGCCCAAGACTCTTACATTTTTCTTAGAACAAATTCATAAGCCCATATGTTCATTAATCAAGCCCAAGGATTTTCTTTTTCATCTCCGTCACGAGGGCAGCCGCAAATGCATCTTCTTTAACCTTTTTCGTCTTATTCTTATTCCTCAATATCCTTGCCACTCGACTTCCCAACGAACGTAGATATCAGGTCGGTCGTGGATGAGAGAATAGATAGGTTTTTATATCTCGACAATTAGGACTGAGGTGGTCGCGAATTCATTGCCAAATCTTGACAAGAAAGAGTTCGGTGGTGGGTTTTGAGCCCGAACCCAACGATTGGTTTAATTTGAAACACGGCCGCGGGGATCCTTAAGATCAGAAAAGGCAAGGTCGGCCCCGCCCCGAAGGCGAATCGGAGGCTGCGATTTGTAATGTCCGAGATGTGATGAGGTCGGACCTCAGCGGTAAATTGGAAGTCCCATGGCAGGTCGTTTATGAAGGTGTCGGCCCGAGCTGCAGCATGGAGCAAAAGAACTCGAAAACGGCCGTCCGAGCTCAAAAGGTCTCGGCTAGAGATGCCGACTGGACTGATTTGGAGGTCGGCGATGGCATGGTCGGTCTTCGATGACTGTCGGGTTGGAGAGGTGAGGTCGGATTTGCTTGATATCCGACGTTTGAGATATGAGACATCAAAATTATTTCAGAGATGACGAAGTCGGCTGCGATGGCGAGGTTGACCGACTTTAAGGTCGTCCGGCCATGAGGGTTTCGGCGATGGTGATGTCGGTGATGCTCGACGAGGGGGTCGGGCCTCGATCTGGTCACGGTGACAAAATTGGCTCGCGAGGTCAGCCCGGTCGACGGAGGTGGGCCAACTTCTGTGGTCGGCCTGTCGATGATGTTAGCCCAACGGCTCAATGACTTGTGAAGCCGGAGATGGTGAGGTCGGCCGAGGTGTGGTTGACTGCTACTGAGGTTGGCTAATTTCGGCAAAATTCAGTAATTTTCTCTTTGATACCTCGATAATCCTCCGGAATAAGTGGTCGACTCCTTGAAGGTGTCGAGAACAGTGGCCGGCTCGACGTCTGAGGTCGGCATCGAAGAGGTCGGTGATGACGGTGTCGGCCCGAGCTGCTGTATGGAGGCCCAAGCTGTGGATTGGAGGTCGGGCCCTGGCAGCGATTTGAAGGTCCGCCGATCGCGAAGTCAGGCCTCAGCTGGGATTTGGCTTGCGAAGTGAGGAACCGAGGTTGGTGATGGATAGGTTCGGGTCCGACTGCTGCAATATCGGAGATGGTGACGATGCTATTGACCTTTCCGAGCTTGATCTGCCGTCCACGTGGGGAGATGTGGTCAACTGGGCGGATCCGGCGGCAGTCCAAGTGGACACGACGGATTGGGCGAAAAATCCGGTGAATATGTAAAGGCAGGGGAATCGACGACGGATCTGACGGTGGTGTACTCAGATCGGCCGGATCGTCTTGCGAGACTAACTCACTTGCTATGTGGTGTGGTTTGGATATCTGGTTTCTGATTCGCTTGCCATTTTTTGAGTTTTCAAATATTGATGAACTCATTTTTTGCTTCTTTTAAATATTCCAATTCCCAGAATGTAAATGTATGTATTGACATAGACTTAAAAGCGCATCATATCCACGAACTCGCACAACTGAACTTGCAGATCTTTCCTTTTTTTTTACATGATAGGAGGGATGGGTAAAAATAATACAGAGAGTTAGAACAAACCGTAGTTATTAAGGATAAACTTGGAGGAGATGATTTTTCGGTGGAGATGCGACTATTTTCCGGCGAAAATTGACTCCGAGTAAATTATGGAGCCCTCCTTCTAGCGCCAAAATGTTGATAAACGAAATTGTATTAATGAAAATGTACACTCCTATTCTGTGAATAATCGGTGTTTGATCTTTGTATGTATATCGAAGATGGAAAAATCAAGAATGTCTTTTATTATATTTGTTGGAAGAAGATGAATAAATGGTGACTTGGTTCTCCCCTTTTTCTCTCCCCTGTCCCCATACATATACATCCCTCTTTTCTTACAAGTGGATCTATAAAAAATAGGTAAATAGGGAACATTGGTATTTAATGTGAGATGACATTGTAGGGCCCGACCGTGACACTTGACGACTTCGATTGACATCTACTTTATAAACAATTATGGTGTCTGCCGGAGATAGATGTTCTCGATATTCGGGTCGAGCAGACGATATTAATTCTACTCGGCTCGAACGTGGACGATCTGGGCACTTGGGAACTCGGTCGATGTTAAATAATCAGCTCAGAGAACCTGCTATATTTATATTTATCCACGTGTAGCCTTTTATTAATCGAGACTAAATTGGATATCAACAGTGTACTAATTTTTAATAGACATTTTTATGTAATTTTGCACCATTTAAATTTTATATAACATTTTCAATAAATTAATATAGGTACATTGTATTACATATTGATTTTATGTTTTTTATTTATAATATTATTTAATGAGAATCTTTAATTTATAAATATTAATGAATATTTCTTACCCGTGCATCGCACGGGATTCGTACTAGTATATATAAAAATGTTTGATTATTTTTTAAATAGTAATTATTTCCCTCCAAAAACATCTATTTACTATGTGAAGAAATTAATTTAAAAATTTATGGTATATTTCCAATAATCACTTATGGAAATTGCGGCTCATTATTTAAGGAAATAATTAGGCCATAAAAAATACATTCTTAAGATATTTTACTTACTCAAATCATGTAGATTTGGCTGACTTACCCAAATATGGGAATTTCGGCTGCAATATCAATTATGTGATTTGTTAAAAAAAAAAATCAGCTAAATTGTGTAATTTATTATTTAATAAGTGTTTTATATTTTTCGTGTAATTTTTTGGTGAAATGCACTTTTAATATACCTTAACTACGCAAATTTTGTAAATTCAACTGATTTATTCAATCTGCAAATTACTATAATTATGGAAATACCGACAACAATTATCAATTATGCAATTTGCAAAAAAAATGTTCTAAAAAAATGTGTTAATGACAATTTTTATTTAAATATTATCTAATAAATATTATTCATTTTTGTGTATTTCGTCACTCAAATCGTGGATAATTAAGGATATAAGTAGACCATAAAGATTTATATTTTAAAGATGTCTTAATTATGCAGATCGTGTAAATTCGGTTGATTTACTAAATTATAATTTTTTTATAAAATTGTTATAAAATAATTGTGTTAATGGCATTAGCTATTTAATTATTTTTTATTAAATGTTTTTTGAGTCTTTTTGTATTTTAATCTATAAAAAATGTGGGTCTCAATTTTGTTTTGTAGACTGGGTAAATTTTGTGGTAAATTTGAAGTATGAAACCGGATTATTTGGTATACTATATATCGATCCAATATACCCGCTTATGATAAAAAAAAATAAAAAATGGTGTTTCAATATTTTTTTTCATATTGCTAAGCATTTTATTCGATATTAATGAAAAAAAAATCTGGAGAATACTATGGTCGATACTTCTTTGTAAATGTGCTTTCCTGAGAAACGAAGTCATAGGTTCAGGGTCTAAGAGCTATGCCATAAATAATATAGGCTAAAGCCTCAATTTTTGTATGTCTGGAACATATCAAATTATTTGGTATATACATTTATGTAAATCGATCAATTTATTTAAATTACACAATATCATTCACACAACTTTACAACCATAACAAAAAGAAATTTGAGATACCCAGTCGTACTATAACCATCAATCAACTCATACCATAATTGATCAACAAGTAATATTCCAATAGGATATAGTAACATCCCAATTGATCAACAAAATAATATTTCTGAATTAAATTTCGTCCAAAGCAAAAAAATTGTACTGTATTTAAATTAAATGAAATTTGATTAATAATTAACCAAAAATATAATTCCAAACAAAGTAAAATTTTTATGACGTATTAAAGAAAGTAAATTTTTTTCATTGTACAAATTGTGTACTAAGGAATTTGTACAATTTTTAAATTGATTTATTGCAGTTTTTATATACATTTCATATCAAATAGTTATGGTATTTAACTAATTTATACTTTGTTCTTCTCCTATAAATTGAGTTATTTTTCAACCATTTGTAGTTATCCTTCGTTTGATTTCGTTTTTATAATCAAGTATCCAATTTTATATTTCATTGAATTAAAGATGAAGTGCAAATTCGGTTTGATCAAGAAAGTCACTAGAACTAAGAAACTACTTATGAAGTTGCAAGCAATTCGAACAATTGAAAATAAATTAACTGCTAAATACGAAAATTACTTGGAAATTATGTTTCATGATGAGGAGGTGAGAATAAATAATTCATTTTGAATTCTTTTTTTTTTAATTTGTTATTTTTGTAAAATAGACATGTTTTATGTAATTCTGCACAATTTAAATTTTATATGATATTTTCAATAAAATTAATATACGTAAATTGCATTACATGTTGATTCCATATTTTTAATTTATAAATATTATTTAATGAGAAATGTAGATTTATCAATATTAATGCATCGCACGAAATTCGTACTTTGTTATATTTTAAAACATTATATTTTAATGCAAAAGTATATGCATTTGTTGTAAGAGTGTGTATGTCAACTCAGTAGACAACCACACACGAACTATCAAAATTGATTTTCTATTCATTTTAAAAGAAAACAATTTTTATTCATACAATATGTACTCTCATTAATTATTCAAATTCATACCTATGTTTGCTGTTGGCTTTCAAGACCCAAAAATATACATACAAGGCCAAATATAT